GCGTGCGCTCGCCAGACAGACGGAGAGAGACATAGAGACAGAAAGCGAGAAATCACCCCCCAGGGGGATGGTCACGCTGCAATCCCTTCTCCTCCATTCTCCTCTCGGGATCTTGGGCACACACGCACACGCGCCCGGCGTGAATTTTAAGCCACCGGGTCCGGGACACGAACCGCGGTCGACTACGTGGGAGTCCAGCGACATAGCCATTACGCTAATTGCTGGTTCCCAGAAAAATTGTTTTTGAAAGAAGTTTCTAGATGATACTGGTATTGCTGGTCCAGGAACCTCAATGAGAACCACTGACCTAAAGTATAGTTTTCATTTTATTCTGTTCCCTCTCCTCATAGGTATTTATTATTATTAAATAAGACTTGCCTATAATTGAAATATTTATAAGTTTTAAGGCTTTTATGAAAAAATTAAATATAGATAGGCAGTTATAGTATATAGTTCTGATAAATAGTTTATTATATCTATTGCAAATAAAATGAGACAGTTTGTGACCCAGTGCCACACATACGTGAAACACACCGTAAGTGCTACTTTCCTTTCTTTAGCTATTCATCGACTTGTTTTCTGTTAATTATCTCCTGATGTGGGCATTCTGCCAAGGGTTCACAGACAAATCTAGAATCTCTACCTAGTTTAATTCAAGTTTTATTATACACAGGCTAAGTTCTCGATAAGCTCCTCTCCAAATCCATAGTTCCTGCACTTTCACACTCCATTGACTCAAGGAAGATACAGATTTCTGTGATCAAAGAGGTTTTTGTCTGTGTCTCTATTGTTAACCCTGTTATACAATAATTTTACTGTTTAAAGATTCTTTTCCCTCATTGATTTGTGAGTTCCTTTAAGGGCTATCTAATCTCTACACTCAGTGAACACATGAACAAGACTAGATAGAGGTAGGTGTCCCTCGGTTGTTTGCACAATGACAGTCTCTTTAGGTTCCTATTCCAAAGTTACTAGTGAACTAATCTTTTCTGTTGTGAACGTCAAGCAAAGGGCAGGGTGAAGTATTCTAAGCCAATATAAATACCACAGCCCTGCAAGGCATATGTTAAGTAGCCATTTATCTTTGAGGATACCAAACAATCCCAAAGTACCACAAAATAGGCTAAGAAAAGGTGCTGTGGAAATTTGGAGGTGGAACAGATTATTTTTCCTTGGAGAACAAGGGAGGAGGATGTCAGGGTGTTATTCTTAAGACACGATATCTGAACCCGATTTAGGATGCAGAACTAGGGTGAAAAGTTCTATCCTGGTTAAATTCCCTTTTAAAGAGAAACACAGACATACACAGATGTACATAATCACATGAATTACTTTATCCTTCCAAGTTCTAAGTCTTTTGAGGCATATGTTTTTTGTTTCCACGAGAGATAAGTGAATATACAGAATCTGCCTGATTTATCTGAATACGAACACCTCTCCAAGTTAAGGATTTGTTTGCTCTGGATCACGTTTCTGTTTTAAAACCAACTGAGGCAGCAGGATAAAAACAACCTTAACTCAAAGTATCAACTGTTTCTTTAGCAGTAAATATACTACTGTGCTGCTGATGTGAAAGATCAAAAAACAAAATCGTTTCATCATTCCTTTTAACCTGAATATGCTTAAGATAATGCTTCCCATGGTTAAGAAACATCTGTAATATTTTCAGTTCTTGGCATCATTCGCTTCCCCATATCCTGTTTCTCCTTCCCCATAAACTCATGTTTAGTCTCTAGGCAAACTTTAGACTAATGCTCCTTAGGCCTTTGGACTAATTTTCCTGTATTGTACTTCAAGCCACTCCTGTTTTATACAACATTTCACTCAATTCTTCTTTAATAAAAAAGGGATTCATCCACTTGAATGAATTATAGAAGATTCAAATATATAAACTACAAAGAAATCTAGAAAATTATAATTATCTGATTGTATTTCACATATAAATGGTAACCAAATTTACCAGTAGCTATGATCCAGTGATGCCATCTACTGTTTCAAATGTGAAACTACACAGTTCAAATTAAATGGGACAACGTGTTCGGTGACAGCAGAGCGAATCAACATGGAATTTACACTAATTCCAATTTATTAACATAGTTAGAAAACCAATAAAGAGAACCTTATAGTCCACAAAAGAGATCAGTATCTTTCTTGGCTTTCAAAAGACAAATAATTGAATCCTTTGTTATGAGGGTAAATGGAAATCCAGACTTCCACACCTGTTCTTTTTCCCAGCTTTATTTGGTTGCAGTTTCTGATGCCTTTCCCTTGTAGAATCAGTACTCTTTTGTTCCAGTTAAATCCTCAACACGGTATATAATACAGTATATTTGTCTCAGACTCCAGCAAGAGCAGAGTTTGAAAGAATTCTCACTACTTTAAACCTCTCAACTGTGATGACGCCTGGGAATGGGTTCCTGCTTTCACAATCAGTAATAGATGGCCTATCTTTGGGTATGACACACTGACCTGGTGACTGCCTCTAGAAAGGCCACCTTGGGGCAGGCAGGTGACCTGGTAGTTAAAAACACTGGACTCACACATGGTAGACTGTGGTTCGAGTCCCGGACCTATCGGTTTGCTGTCTCACTTTCTCTCTCACTCTGTTCCTCTCTGAATTAAATTAAATTTAAATAAATAAATAAATAAAATAAAATAAAGTTAAATAATTCTTTACCCAAAAAAAGAGCTCTTACAATTCAATATTAAAAACAAACAAACACACAGAACTCCTCTACCAACCTGAAAGCTTTCCCAATACCTTGTCCTACATCAATCCTAGTTTCCCTAAACCATCTCACTGACTCATATTCTTACGGCTCCCACGGGCTTTGTACCCAACTTACCTAAGTTATAAGAATAAGCTTCTCTACTATACCATGCTATCACTACCCCTCTTGTCTGATATCTGAAACCATTTCTTTCTGCTTTTAAAACTATTTTGATTTTCATTCACAGAAACAAAGTAGAAGCATTAGGTCCAGGTTTCTTTTTTTTTTTTTTTTTGGGGAGATTTTCACTGTAGGGCGCGTGCGCTCGCCAGACAGACAGAGAGAGACATAGAGACAGAAAGCGAGAAATCACCCCCCAGGGGGGATGGTCACGCCGCAATCCCTTCTCCTCCATTCTCCTCTCGGGATCTTGGGCATACACGCACACGCGCCCGGCGTGAGTTTTAAGCCACCGGGTCCGGGACACGAACCGCGGTCGACTACGTGGTAATCCAGCGACATAGCCATTATGCTAACTGCTGGTTCCCAGGTCCAGGTTTCTTGAAAAGGCTCTGAGGATTTTACCTTGAAATGCCAAATTCTTGGTGAAGCCTTTTGCCATTACTGCGTTCCCACCTTGAAGACTGATCACTGGGTAGCAACCCTGAAGCGCCTGAGCTCCTCCTCAGCTGTGGAGTCGGTAAAATACTCCTGCTATTTAGTCCCTGTTGAATGATTTAACAATTGTTAAAATCCTTACCCTCATGTAACATTAATTACGGCTCATAAACATGAATACAAAGTATATTTAAAATGTGTACAGGAGAAACAGAACATTTTATTGTGAAAAATCTGTAAATTTACTCTAAGTTTCACATTCTATACTCTTATTCTATTTGGTTTTCTCCTCCTAGAAATGATTTATTTGGCACATTATACTCCTAGTTTTATGAGAAAGAAACAACTGGCAACTTAAAAAGTAGGTATGAAAGATTTACCCTGTAAATCAACTTCAGATGGCAAGCTTAAGAGCAGGAGTGATCACCCAAAATTTTATATTTTATATTTTCAGTACAACACTCTCAAATACACATGGTGGTTAACACGGAGAAACTGCAGGATTCTGAATTATCTTTTCAGTAAATTGAATACAGAACACCTTTACGCTAAATTTTTAAAAAAGATTCTCAACCTAAATGTTCAATTAACAAGTATAATCCATTTTTGACCATTTTGATAGGTGTTTTGCTGAGATTTACATAATACTGTTTCTGTTTATGAATTCCCCCTATCAGCAGACATTGCAACAATCTCTAAGAGTTATTTATATTTGAGTTTTCCCAAGGATGTTTATTTTATAAAGATTCATGATTAGTTAGACCTACACTGTAAAAGTTCTTTATATAACAAAATCCTTGCTGTTATTTAGGAGTAGACAATTTTTCTTAGTTCTTCACACTATATATTAAATCATCTGTTCCTATGCCCTTCTGCTTACTAATTTCTTTTTTTCATAAATGCTGCTGCTCTTTTCTGAAGTAAGGTTCAGGCTTTTTATATGCTTTTCCAAAAACAGAGAAAAATTAGATATGGGGCCCTAATAAGTTTAAACACAAAGAAAAGGAGTAAGAGTGACTTCCTGATTCTTATATGACTTACTGGTATCAGTAGATTCCAGAAGCCAAAATAATTCTGATTAACCACAATGCTCAGGAAATGAGGCATTTAGGCATCCTGTTTAATTAATACTATGCTTGAAATGTTTCTAAAATGTACCAGTATATTTTTCTACATAGTAAACATGGTAACAAACAATACTGATATCAATATGAGTTTTATGATTAAAATTTTTAAAGAATGTCTAGCTTTAAAAATTGCTCTTCTGAGCTTCAAATATCAATGTAAAATGCAAAGGAAGAGCAACATACTAAGTGGAATCTAACTTACTAACTCCAACATGTATTCAATATTCTATTGATGATGAATATCAGCAATGTATATCTTTGGATATCCTTTTGGATGCCTGTGAATAACATCTTACAAAGCAGAGTGGCTTAAAAAAAAAAAAAAGTCATGTGTCAGTAGGTGGCTTAGTGGTTAAGGCTCTGGATTCCCACATGGCAGACTGTGGTGTGAATCCTAGACCAAATGGTTTAAAACTCACATCAGGCATAGGTGAATGTGTGCCCAAAGTCCCAGGAGGAGAATGGAGGAGAAGAATTACAGTGTGGCCATCCTGCCGGGACGTGATTCCTCACTTTCCCTCTCACTCTCTCTGTCTCTCCCCAGCAAGCGCATGGGCCATATGGCAAGAACAACAACAACAAAAGTCATATAACTAAATACTATTGTTAATTGGGTTTGGACTAATGAATGTGCTACTATACAGACTTTTTAGAAATAAAAGCATCCCACAGCTAGCTTGCAATGAATAATTTTCAAATCCTTTTTGCCCTAATTTGGTTTGTTTAATTTTCAGCATTTGTAAATCCTCACGTTGAGAACTGACAAAATGAAATTAACTGATAATCAAAATCTCTCCAAAAACAATATTTACCTTTTTCTAAGTTCCATATACACTGTTATAATTAACAAAATTAACTGACTTGAATTTCATCTTCTCTTGGTTAAATTCCTTATCTGGAGAATAAAGTAGATGAACTAGAATAATCCCTGAAATGCTTCTAGTTTTTAAGTTTATGATTTTAGCTATTGGTGAAGCTATCAATAAAAGTCAAATAAAACAAGTACAAGCACTCTGAACATGTACAACACATACCTATTTAGAACAATATTTACTATTTGCTAAAAAGGAAATACAATTTTTAAATAATACTTATAGGTAAATCAATCCCATACCTCATGATGGAAAAACCAATACCTATTGGACTAAAGGATACTCAAGTGGGTAAAAGAGGAAAATGGGGTTCAAAAACTATGAATTTTTTTCAATTAATGGTATGTAATGCATAAATATTACAGTGATCATTTCTTCTTGGTTCAACAAGAATAATTCTTGGATTCTAAAGAAAGAAATAGATGAATGGCATGATCTACCAGTTTGTTATACAAGCCTAGAAATAAATTTGCTTGCTGTTCTCAACTTCTTAACCAAATTATTAACTTTAATAAATAGCTGTTACCATTTACATTATCACTGCTAGCTTTAAAAAACAAACAAATAAAACTATACTTATCCAGAATTATTTGAACTCATTAACTCCTAAAATCCAAGAAGCTCTGTGTAATATAAAAGTTGAGTCCATGAAAAGAAACTATGTACTTTTCAAAATTTATTTTTATCCATGATAAAGAGCAAGTGTGCATGCCCAAGAGAGATAGAGACAGAGAGAAAAGCACCTTCGACAGAGTCCCTTCATGCTGTGATCCCCTTTCCACAACCCTCCACTTGTCGAGATCCCAGGCAAAGGTGGCGCTCCTGTATCCTCAGGCTGACCTTGGGACCTGACCCTGCCACCAGCCACGTGGCCTTCAGCACCACAGTCCTGTTGGCCACGGACTGGACCACCAGGCTAAGCAGAAAACTGTAGGTTATATAAACTTTTTTAAAAATAATTATTTATTTAATTTTATTTCCAGAGAGAGAGAGAGAGAGGAAGAGAGAGCGAGAGAAATATAAACTTTTGAGGAGCAGTTTTAATGTGAAAATTTTCATGCAATAAGTAGAGCTGTCTGGTTACTGTATTTTGACCTTGTGAAGTTTCCGATCTCCTTTCTCAGCGGGGTCCTCTATTTCAGAGCAGGGGTAAAATCCAGGAAATGGTGTGAGAGGATTAATCTTTGGCCTACAGGAACCTGAGAAAGCACCCATCAGGCTACTGACACTCCGTAGGGAAGAGACGACTTGTGGGGGAAGGCTTGGGTCAATCAGAAGGTCCGACACCATACTGCGGGCCTCATTTAGCACTGAAAGATCGACTCCACTTCCACCTCCAGAATTCTACAAAAGGAAAAAGAAACACACACAGACAAAATGGACAATTTGTCACACAGAACACTTAACATATGAAAAAGTTACTCTACTTTAAATCAAGGTCTATCTAATATCTAAGTAATTAAATCCTATTAAATATAACTTTTCATTCATTTGGACAGGCCATAAATGATATAATGCTAACACTGAATTTTTTTTTAGGTTTTTGTCATAGGACACGTGCACTTGCCAGAGAGTGACAGACGCGCAGAGATAGAGTAAGAACTCCCCCCCAGGGGGTACGGTCACAATCCCTTTTCCATTCTCCTCTCAGGATTTTGTGCATGCAGGCACATGGGCCCAGCATGATTATCAAGCCGCCAGAGGCCCTGGACTTGAACCACTGTCGACCATGTGTAAGTCCAGTGCCTTAACGCCACCTGCTAGCCCCTATTAAAATTTTTCACATATATGTAGCAGAAAGATGCTGTGAACTTTGTTTTTCATTAGTTTATCTCGTTATATGTAATATATTCACCACTGACTTACTTTATAACTACCAAAAAACTAAATCTGTGTTTACTCTAAAATTTGTAATTTGGATATTTCAGTAATATTTTAATGATCTCCTTTCCTTTATGTAAAACTTCCTTTTAAAAATACACATTTCTTTCATTGATCTTACTTGCCTAAGAGGCAGTTAACATAGTGACAAGGCTTTGCTGCAGACACTTGAGTTTGAAATCTAGACTTTAACCTGTGTGATTTTGAGCAAGTGCTTTAACATCGTGACATTCTAGTTTCTTCAGTGTAAAATGGAGATAATGTATCTACTCATTAAGAGCTAAGAATTAAGTCTGATAACACATGTAAAGCACAGAAAAGTGTAGTTGTATCGTACATGTATTAAAGTACAGTAAGCAGTACTCCCTAGTAATACTTGGGGAAATGTGAGATTAAAAATAGAGGAAAAAAATTGGTATCGGAGTTCAAATGAGATATCAATAATTTTGAACTGAATGATTAACAAAATCTTCATGGACAGAGTAGCATCAGCCTAGGTCCTAAAAAACTGATATAAAAACATTTAATTTAGAAGACATATATTCCTGATATATACTTATGATGCGATTTTTACATTTTGAAAGATGATTATATATGATTTTCAACCCAATCACCCATAGAACTAGTCATCAGAACGGTGAATTAAATGTTGTTTTTCTTTGTTTCATTATGCCTTGAACTTACATTTGCATTTGTTTAGAGGTTAATTATTCAAATTAGTTAATAAGTTCACCATGATGCATTCTGGAATGAAAAAATGTTACGAAAGATAGGCAAAGAGAGCTAAATAATGCCTTTGCTCTTAGTGGAATTCTTTTTTCTTGTTCTCCTGCTAATTTGTATTGGTCTTCATCTTAAAACACTCCCTGGACTCAGCAGGTAGTATAGTGGGTAAGTCACTGGTGCCCCAACTGCAATTCTTGTCCTGGACCCAACAGTTTGAAAATCATGCTGGGCAGGTGTGCATACATGTCCAAAATCCCAGGAAAAGAAAGGAGAAGAAGGGATTGCAGAGTGGGCAAACCCTCTGGAAGGTGATTTCTCACTTTCCCTCTCACTGTCTCTCTCTGGCAAGTGTACACACCTTACGGCAAGGGGAAAAAAAAAACTAAAAAAAAAAAAATCCCCCATTTCCAGCTCATAGTCCATCTATTTTTCATCTTTATCCACCACAAATAACATTAAAATAAACATTCCTTTATATGCCATGTGAACAACTAAGCATACTTCTGATAACTTCCCATTATCTCCATTATTTAAATTGCTGAATGTTGCATTAACATGGCAAATAAACAGTGACATTTGATCATTACTCTAAAACGGTTCTAGAATATGTTAATTAAATCAATACTGTATTATAGTCACACTTTCATAATAATTAGATATTATGAATTTAATTAATTCCTACCTAACTTAAAAGTAAAAAAAAAACAACAAACAAACAAAAAACCTGCTTACAGCTCTTTCTACTTTAATTCTTTGATCACTGTTTCTAAACATTTCCTGTCTTTTAAATTATTATTCTAATTTATTTTATAAATTCAATTATTGTACATCACTACAGCTTGTAAAATGAATTACCTAACATGAATACACTTCACACCAGTCCAGTTGAAGATCTCATACATGTTATCAACAGACAATCCTCCATTTCTATGTCCCCAAATGTCTTCCCTGTCTATTTTTCTCCTTGACCCCTTTCCTCTCACTCTCCCACATCTTTCATCCTCTTCCCACACTGTCTCCAGTACCCATAACCATTTTCCATTCTACTATCTCTTCTAATATTTCAGTTTCTGCCACAGAGTACAGATAGTCGGTATAAAGTGGAGACATACAGTATCTCTCTTTCATAGCTTGGTTCGCTTCACTCATAAATCGTCATATTCTTCCACTTTCTATCAATACCAAGGTCTTTTTTATTAATGAACATTTCTTGTTTTATTTATATGGTTTATGCCCTTTTTTCTGTGAACTTTCTACTTACAATCTCATTTAATTATTACAAAATTAAAATAAAACATGTATAGAAACAAATTTTATTATAAAGTAACCTTTCCTCAATACTATCTAAAACCTGTTTAAAAAGGATAAATCACACATTTACCAAGGAAGTACAGTGTGACTTTCACTTTTAACAATACATGTAATTAGAATCCACTCGTCTCTCACCTTATGTACAAAAAGAATTCATACTCGTAGACAAGACTTTATGGTCAAGTTGTACTTGCTGCATACTATTCTACATTTTTAAAGTAACTGTTGATGTTTAGTCTTAAGTTTACCATTTATCATTTGCCTTCTGCTTCTTGTGCTTCCTGTTCCTCTGTATTTCCTTGTTTTCTGGTGTTAATAGTGTTTCTTTGGGGAGGACTCTCTCTTGACTAATTTATAGAATTTTGGGTGTATTACTTTACATGGTTTTCCTAGTGGTTGCTCTGGATAATATAATGTACATACATGACTCACAGTCTTCTGATATCAATAGTTTACCACTTTGAGTTAAGTGTGAAAATATTTTTTAGAATTATTTTATTTAATCTTATTCACCATCATATTTTTTTAAGTTGACCAGAGAAAGACAGAGAGAGAGAGAGAGAAGGAAAGTGACAAAACACGCTGCCAGCCCAGGACTCAAACTGTGGTCAGCAATGTGGGAGTCCAGCTGCCTTAATGACCATGCCACCTGCCGGCCCCTAAGTGTGGAAATTTTACTTCCAGTTAAGTCATTTTGTTTTGTTCACTTTCAAGTACCTTTGTCTTCAGTATCAGAATTTCCTTTAGCCATTCTTTCAGAGTAGGTTTTCTTGGTGACAAATTATAAAATTTTTCCTTCATTTCATAATGCCTTCATTTTTCAAATGTTGACTTACTTATCCCATGAGTGAGAGAGGCAGTGCTAAAGGGAGTATAATCCCGGACTCTGCAACCCACCTCTAACCCTGAACCAGCACAGGTCTTAGACACACGGGGGCCCAGAATGCTGAGGGAGGTCTCTAGAAGGAAACTGGCAACCCTTGTGGATCTGCCTTGCAAAACATTGTGTTTCACTGCTGGGTCCACCATACAACTCCATTCCCTGCCCTCTTAAAGTAGAGTTTCACAAAAAATACAATTTCCAATTAGTAAGACTTTTCTTTCAGCATTTGAAAAATGTTCTCCAGCAGATGGCATAATGGTTACATCGCTGGACTCCCACATAATCCACCTCAGTTTGACTCGATCCAGTGACTTAAAACTCACTCTCGTGCATGTGTGTGCGTACCCAAAATCCCATGAGGAGAATGGAAGAGAAGGGATTGTTGCATGGCCATCCCCCCTGGGAACTGACTCCTTGCTTTCTTTCTGTCTGTCTCTCTCTGTCATTTCAGTGAACCATGGGCCCTATAGCAAAAATCTCTCTCTAAAAAAAAAAAAAAAAAAAAAAATTCTCCATTTCCTTCTATTTCCTCTCTGTTGTTGGAAAATTCTATGGATCTATCCTCAATTTCACAGGTTCTAGCCTCTTCATCTCTACCCTTTTCTTCTTTTTATTTTTTTTAAGAAAGGTTTTTTGCTATAGGATGTGTGTGCTTGCTAGAGAGAAAGAAAGAGACAGAGAGACAGAAAGTGAGAAATATCCCTCCCCAGGATGGATGGTCAATCTATGCTGCAACCCCTTCTCTTCCATTCTCCTGTCTGGATTTTGGGCACATATGCACAAGTGCCCCACATGAGTTTTAAGCCGCGGGTCTGGGACTCAAACTGCAGTCAAGTACGTGGGAGTCCAGTGACGTAACCATTATGCCATCTACTGGTCCCGTCTCTACTCTACTACTGAGCTTATCCAGCAAGTTTTTAAGAATTATTTATTTAGGTTTTTGTTGTTGTTGTTGTTGTTGTTTTTATAGTTTGCTATACCAGAGAGAGAGAGAAAAAATGAGAAAGCAAGCCACTAGGTCTGAGATTTGACCCATGGTTGAAATGTGGGAGTCCAGTGCCTTAACCACCATGCCACCTACTGGCCCCGATCCAGGAAGATTTTAATTTTTATCATAATATTTAATTCTAAAATTTCTATTTATTTATTTACTTTTAAGCCATTTATGGTTCTCCTTGTTTTTGTTCATTTATATATTTGTTTAGTTATTAATTTATTAATTCACTTATAATATTAATAATACAATACAAACAAATATTTCTAATCTCTGCTGTAAGATCATTCATTATATAGACATTAACTAGTTCTCATCTTGTAATGGACCTCAAAGTTACTGACTGGTTTTTTAAAGTTGATTTATCCTCTTATTTCGAGAGAGAGAACTCAACCACAGTTCTTCCTAGCCCTCGCTGCCCCTTAGGATCGTGAGTACACACACCCAGAGTGTACAGCTTGATCCGGGAACTGAACCCCAGGCTTCCACATTGCAGGGTGATGTGCTGCTGCTGTGCCACCACAGCTGGGCCCATTTATTTATGTGTTT